GCACACTGCATATAAGAATTTATTTTTAACCTTTGTCATGACAAGAAAAGTGCACTAGTAAGAAGAGTTACGTAACTTTAGACTTGAAGTATTCAATTAGAAAATGTTGTCATATAAATAACCGGAAATTATGCCTTGAAGTATTAATATTAAGTTAAAAATCAGCACAAAAAACAAAAGGGTTTTGAAAGCAAACAAAAATTTAAACACAGTGATGTATAAGAATGTCTTCATTCAACATGTGCAGGAAGCCTACAAAAAGAAGCTTATAGGATCATTATGAGTAGAAATTTTGCATTACAATTAGTTAAAATACGTCTTTATCGTCTCACTGACAATATTTTTTTCTGTTATTCTAACTAAATATGCGAATATGTTTTCATCTATTCATTTCCATTACTTGCATATGCAATGGATAAGGCTGACTTTATTGCATTATACGACACACACACACACATCAAGAGGGACTTTTTAATAAGTTAGTAGCGTATATAAATATAATTTTCCAAACCTCATTAAGAATATCCTCAAAAGTTTATATTTCTGTCAAGAAATTTTGAGATTGTTACAGGCTTGTTTGTTTTAGAGCAAAGCCACATTGGACAATCTGGAGAGTTCTCTGCTGAGAATCAAACCCCATGATTTTAGCATTGTAAGTTCGTCGACTTATCGCTGTCCCACGAGGAGACGGAATGCTACAGAGAACATGCAGTTTCCATGCATGAGTCTAATCTCATTCTGTACTCTAGTTACCAGTTTTCAATGTAATGTTTATAAATTTCATGTGAATCATGCCCTGTAATATTTCCATTCGTTAAAATCTTAATTTTTTCGGAACAAAACGCTTAGAAATATTTTATCAAAGTATAAAAAAAGAATTATGCAGATGTATTTTAAGTAAACCATTTGAACTGATTGATTATTTGTTTGAGTGTACAATACAGGATCGAACCACGAATTTAACCCAGAAATTACGGCTGAATCCATATGCTCATAAGAACGTATTTTTAATAAATAACAATATGCAAGATAAAGATACATATTTTTAAGTATATAGGAATATTGAGTAGATTATGTATAAGGTTTTAATTCTTTGAATTCTAACAGTGAAAATATAGACAATACGTCTTTGTTACACAAATCAATTAAGTTTTAAAATAAAACTTATTTTACATAATATTTCTTTTGACAGTCTGAAAATCCTAGTCTCACGCAGATCAAACCAAGAGTTACTCATAAAAGAAAGCTTACTAATATTAAATGTTCACCCAACTCTGAAATAACCTCAGGTCTCTCCAACTCGGGTTATTAATATTGTTGATACTTATGAATAATTTATACTGTAATGTCTATTCTAATGTATTACATTTCTTTGCATGAACTATATTTCAGATCCTTATGATAGAATGTGAAAATTCTGAAACATCCGTTCAATTAGTTCTCTGGTAGGAAAGCGGTAAGTCTAGGGAATTACTACGCTAAAATCCTGGGTTCTATTCCCCACTGTAGAAACAGCAGATAGCCAAAGGTGGCTTTGATCTAAAACAAATAAACTATTCAATAAATACATTATCAAAATCTACTATTATTTTTTTCGTAGAATTAAGCATGTTTGTTTGCTTATGTCAAAGCTACTAAAGTTATCCGCCGCCATCCCTCATTTTGAAGTGCCGACCACAGAGGAGGCAACCGCTTAGTGGCACCCACCGCCAACTCTTAAGCTACTCTCTACCAACAAATAGTGGGATTAACCGTCATATTATAAGCCCACGGAGCCGGGATTCAACCTTGCGACCCGCAGATTACAAGTCGAGTCGAATGCCATGACCAACAGGCCATGCCAGGCCAACTCTAAGCAAAAGCTTCCAAAAGCAAAGAAAAATAATTTACATCATGGCAAATTACAAAGAAATTATTAAATGTTTTTTTTTTGTATGTTTTTATGTCCTTTCTCTCTAGGGTGGTATCTTTTCCCTTTACATATAATGAACGGGCAGAATAAGAGCAATTTTGCGTAATTTTAGCAAAACAGTTCGAATGTAACTGGACACTTTTCTTCTTCTTAACTTCTGCACGTTTATCTTAGAAAACTGTCAATTGTGCCTTAAAATTTTCCATGGGATAAAACTTAGACCGACTGCATTGTTCAAGCTTTCTCAGTGCAAATGTCTTCATCCTGTAAAAGACAGAGATATTGTGTTTACACCACACTTTCAAGTCGGACCAAGTGCGGTATCCCATGATTGTAATTATCTATTTTAGTAATTATTATAATTTTAAATATTCAAGAAGAGATGAGCTATAGAGAAGGAAAAGCATTATGATAGACGCTCGGGAAAAATAGCCCCTAGTGAACAGTCTAGGGGCTCTCTTAGGAAATTGTTTATTTTTCTTATCTGAATGCAATGTTAAGAATGTTTGAAGTATCAATTTTCAGTTTAAGAATGTTTCAAGTATCAATTTTCTGTTTAAGAATGTTTGAAGTATCAATTTTCAGTTTAAGAATGTTTGAAGTATCAATTTTCTGTTTAAGAATGTTTCAAGTATCAATTTTCTGTTTAAGAATGTTTGAAGTATCAATTTGCTGTTTAAGAATGTTTGAAGTATCAATTTTCTGTTTAAGAATGTTTGAAGTATCAATTTTCTGTTTAAGAATGTTTGAAGTATCAATTTTCTGTTTAAACTTTCCATATATACTGTATATATATATATAGGATCTGTCATGTTGACCGACCTATTACCCACTTTGTAATCATGTAACTATACATACTATATCTTTTTATGTAGTAAGTGTATCTTCATTAAATTTGGCAAGCTTTTAGTAAACATTACTGTTCTGTTGTGCACAAAAATCCAGAATTAAAAAAAATATATATTTCTACTGAAGGATTGTCTGTGCATTTACGGAGGCAGTCAGACTCAGACTCTTGCAAACTGCTTATCATGCTAAGTTTGTTTGTAGTTAAGTACAAAGCTACATAAGGGGTTATCTGTACTGTGTCCACCACTGGTATCAAAACCCGGTTTTTAGCGTTGTAACCCTTCCGACTTACCGCTGTACTTCATGTTAAGAATATTTTTTTATCTTACAGTTTTCATGTAACATCTATAATAACTTTAAATGAATATCAAAAGTATTTCATTGAAACTTTATATTTTACCTGTTACGTTCTTTAAATGGTATTGCTAAAAGTAGGTTTTGCCTATTCTATAAAAAAAAGCATAAATAATTGAAACTTTCTACTGTTTAATATTATTAATTGTATGCTTGCAATATATCAATGAGCCATTACTCTCAAACAAAAAAGAAAGATTCTTTCATAGAATTAAGATGAAACAATCGAGAGATTTGACAATAGTTTACTTTGTCTGGCTACTATGTCTGTAATTTTGTTGCTGTCGAATGTCACCCAGATTTTCCTCTTCACTGCCACCAACACAATGTAACTAAGTGGTCCTGAGAAAGTATGCTTCTAAATCGTGTTTTGATGTATTTTCTGCATTGAGGAAGTTCTTTCACAAGACGCCACGCCGACCTGCTTTCTATTCTATTTTTATTTGTGTCTTCTTACTACTATAGCATTCGGGGATAAAACATAATAAGCCCGTTTAGTGTATTGAACTGTTTGACGTACTGAAATAAAAGGGGACTTAGATATTTTAGTAGCTGGTGATCAAAAAAAGAGGTGAGAGCAGGAGCAGTACTTTATTGTTTTTTCTTATAGTAAATTATTATCACAAATTTCCACATCACACACAAAACGTTCAAAGCATTGTATATAGTACAATTAAAACATATATATATATTAATTTAATTGAATGAAAAATGGTTTTCACATTTCACAAGTTTTTCAAAATCTGTGGATGGGATAAAATTTGCCAGAGAAGTATCTTTATGCTTACTTAACAAGAAAAGACTGGGCGAGGTTGCGAGATCACTGTCGTAATAAAAGTCATTATCTCTCAAGATCAGAAACTGTTTATTGGATTGAAAACAAAACGGACTAGTTTAGAAGCTGTTTATTGGATTAAAAACAAAATGGTCAAGTTCAGAAGCTATTTATT